TGTCCTTGGGGCTGGCAGCCAGTCCCGGGGCGTGTGCCTGCTGACCGGGGCAGTTTGTGAGCGGTGTGAAGTTTCGGGGGCTCTGGCGTGACCGGAAGGCAGCTGCACTTGACATTCAGAACAGCCTCGCCGGCGAGGTCTCGCTCCAGGGAGCGGAGTGTGGACGGAGTGATTGCGCAGGAAGATGGCTTGGCTGCCCACCAGACAACGTGTAATGGCCTGCTGCTCTTGCTGACGGGGTGTTTTTAAGAATAAAGTTTAAAGAGCAGCCTTGAAAGCCAAGTATCTACCAAATCGTTCCGGAAGGCAGGGATGGTTCCTGGTCACGATTACGAATACTTTGATTAAGGACCTCGGAACTTGATGCTGACCAGGAGGAAATGCCCGTGGAAAGCAGACCCACGGAATTCAAGGAGGCCGAGAACTCCGCAGTCTAATGCCCAGAAGCGGTCCATCCCGTGAAGCCCCGCTAACCTGAGTAACCACTGAGCTCAACTAGCAAATACTATTTGTCTCCAGAAGCGCGCAGCACTCCCTGCTAGCGAGGTGGATGCCACCTGCAGCCACCTGATAGGACAGGGTAGAACTGACCCCGTGGGTTCCTGAGACAGTGGCTCTTTACGGGAGCAGAAAGCCTCGTCTTTCTCCCGGGAAGCAGTTGGTGGTTTCAAACTGCAGACCTTGCGGTTAGCAGCCAAACGCTTATCCACTATGCCAACAGGGCTCCAACACTTACAGCACAGAGACAGAGACAGAGACCTTAACAAGAATGATTTCCGCCAGCATGAGCCAGCCAGTCCATTGAAAGCAGAAATTAGAACTTCCAGGGAGCTCAGAGTGGACCGGTCAGTGTGGACGGCATGAACACAGCATGGGGGGTGGAGGGCGGTGGGGAGAAGGGTGGCAGGTGACCATTGGAACTGACGCCTTTGAACTGTTCCTATAGAAACTGAGAACAGACGGTGTCTGGTTGTGTCTTTTGCCGCCCCAATAGACCAGGCATTAAAAGTAAGTCGTAAATAAAAGCCAGAGGACTCTCCCATGGTGGCTGGGGAAGGAGGGCTTTGGCTTGGTGTTCACTGGCTCCCTGAGTGTTGGAGGGGGGCCCTCTGTGTCCTTCGGTGGGGTCTAGGCTGCCTGTGGAAGCTCAGGTGGTCCTTGTGCTTCGGTGGGACCTTCCAGTGCAGTGGCAGGTGTGAGCTAGACTTGGCACTCCTGGGAATCGCTCCGTAAGGTGGCCAAGAGAAGAGCCCTGTCCTGGGAGGGCAGCCTGATGCAGGAGGCAGGACCAAGTCTGAGCAAGTCCAGCTACAGGCTCAGCCGTGCCCACACAGTGACTCTGGAAGCGTGCTTCTGGGTGTTTGGCTCAGTGGACGCAGCCTGCTTCCGGTGGGGTCACCAGCTTGGTTTGTACGTGGTCATCTCACGTCTCTGGCTCTAAGTCCAGGTGGCTGCTGGCGTGATTCAGTCCCTGAGGGTTGACAGCCTGTCCCCCAGATCCTTGCCATCCGGGTCTCTCTGACATGGTGGTTTCTTCTTCCAAGTCTGCAAGCCAGAGGGCAAGAGAGGGGGCCCACCAGCAAGACGGTGACAACCTTGTCCCAGAAGGGACATCCCATCATCTCCTCTGTGTCCCCCGGGCCGACCTCTGTGTCCCCCCACACTCAGAAGGATGAGATTCCATCGGGCACGGCTGCCACACCAGGGGTGGGATGATGCTTGTTTTTGTGGGAGATGAATTTGATCGCCACTGTAGACTCCAAGTCCAGTTCCATG